AGCCGATCCCGGTTGGAATTTTCTTTGCTGGCTTGTGCTCTCGCCCCAGTGTCCTGTGGCGCCTCGGATTTAAATCCCTGGCGACCCGTGTTGCCTTTCAGAGGGTGGCTGAAGGCAGAGTAAATGCCGAGATTTAGGCTCCAGGGTCCAAACTGGCCTCCTTTTCCCCCGTAAGATGCACAGCTGCCTCCTCACAGATTATTTCTTGTCCCATGGCAGTGCGAATCAATAGACCTGCGAGTCGCTGTGTGGATAACAGCACAGTGGGGTAATGCACGAGCCTGAGTACTACTTGGTCACCTCGGAGCTTCCCTGCCTCCTGCTGCACCGTGATTCCTTTGCCGCCGTCCACGTGCTGTTGCTTTTTGTGGCTTTTGCAGCCGCTTCCACTGTAATTCCAGCCTGCAGCAGCCCAGCCTGCTTAATCTGCCAGGCAGGTTGCTCTGGAGGAGCCTGTGACCCAGCACGTCCCTCCAGCAAGGACCAGGGCTGTCCCTTAGGGCAGGCTGGCGACTGTGGCGCGTGCTGTGAGTTGCTGCTGTTCTCAGGCGCTAACGCTGGCAACGCAGGCTCGGATGCAGCTGGGTCGCATGCGTGTCCCTGCTGTTGGTTCAGGTTGTGCTGCCCGGGGCCCGGCGTGGACCCTGCCCCAAGCTGCGTCCTTGGGGCTGACCTACCTGTGCGTGTCCTGCCCTGGTGCTGAAATGCGTTCTGAAGTGGTTTCAGGGCCTAAGGAGTCAGGATTGGCTATTCCTGTCTGGATTGCTTGCGGAACCACGGCTTATGCATTATTTCTCACCCAGCAGCCCCATGGCTTTCTAAAGTCTCTTCTTGATTTTTTTTTTTTCCCCTATGGCTGTTACTGGAGCAGAGTCTTTCTGCTAATGTGGCCCTGGCTGCAGGGGGGTGAGTTTCCCTGTGCGGGCTCCCCTCCGGGGTGCTGGCCATGTTAGGGGTGACAACACTGAGCTCTCCGACAAGGTTCTTGCAGCTGTGGGGCCATCACATCCCACCCTTCGGAGCTGCTTCTGCTCCTCCTGGAGCAAGAGGCGGGTTTTTGTCCCAAGCTCTGTACTGGGGCTTCCCAGCCTCTCCTGGCGCTAGAGAGAGCTAATCCAGCTGAGGCAGGTGGGTCTTGCTCTTCCAGGGCCCAACTCTTTGCCTCTCCCCTCCTTTTCCACCCACTTCTCTGCCTCTCCTTTGCTCTGCTTGAACCGTGGGGCCGTTGGGAGCTGCTGCCTCCGCGAGCGCAGGGCTCAGTGCCGCTCTCTGCCCTGCAGACACCATCGACATCGTGCGCGACCCCATCTCGCCCGGCGAGTACAAGGCCGAGGAGGACCCCAAGCTGTACCGCTCTGCCAAGACGAGTC